GTGCTGCTCTCACGTCTCCAGGTTCAGAACAGTCTAAAGCAGAACATCTGTGTGGAGACGCTTCGAGAAGGCAATCACAGGTATCTCACTCTCTGTCTGTTATCAGTCATCATCCAGTATGTTGTTGAGGTACAAACTCTACACAACAGTGTAATCTGTTTAAATGTACTGTAGGGCTCTCTTCATTTCACCTTTATTCATTGTGGAGATGCTTTTTTGTCTTTAAAAAGTCAATTATTGGCTTAATATGTGGAGAAATTAACCAACAATCAAAAGTGTAAATGTGATTCAGCTGAAACAACAAATGAGTAAAATGTGCCAATATCTGTACTCATAAATATACTTTTAACCTTTATTGAACAGATACTGATGTACTCGCTCAACCCTCAAAATGTTATAGTGGCCATTAAGTCCAGTTTTATACATAAAAACCATCAAAATGTTCTGGTTAAAGTGCAGTAAATGAAGATTTGTAGTTTGTTTTCCACTATGATTCACTTCCACAATTGACCACTAGAGGGTACTATTTAACTCTGTTAGACCATGAACCAGTTGGACGCTGAGGTTTCATCTCTCATTATAGGAGCATGAAGAGGAAGAGGTGAGGCAGGAATGGAGGGATGAAAAGTAGAGCTCAGAGTATCTGTCAGAATAAAGTCCCACTAATACTGAACCTTTGTGCTCAGCAGGTTATTCCTTTGTTTAGCAGCAGAGGGCGCACTAACCTCTCTCTCTGTATTCTAATATCAATGAACTTAAAGTGAGTCAGGATGTAAATGTTTCCTGCTCATTCTGTGTTTTATCTCCATTTATATCTATGTTTAATCAGTCAGACCACTGAACATAAAGCTTTTAAGGATTTATTACATTGTTAAATGACTTCAAAGGTTCCGGTTGTCACACATAGTGTCTGAATTACAGCGTCGACCACAATGACGTAGGAAACAAGCGTATAATCTGATGATAGATACACTTATATTCATGGGAAGTTTTTATTTTGTGTGCAGTACAGTGAAGTTTTATTAATCCTGAGGACCAATTTGACCTATGATAGCAGTTAGTGAATTATAAATACAGAAAAGTGCAGAAATAAATACTAAAATGTGAACAGAGGTAACTAAAGGAGCATCCTGTCACATCCACAGCTCCTTACAGGACAAATTACACCTCGTTGGATGGAATAAAATACCTCAAATATCTGTTACTGCCTCCTCCTGACTGATCGATAGCTGTCCCATGAAAGGTCTACATAATGCCGGCATTGGGACAGTGTGTGGGGAAAGTTTAAATTACCAACATGCAGTAAAAATCTCTAGATTTCTGAGTGTGTTGTAGGAGAACAATAATAAACAAACAATAAACGATGGGAGAAAAACATAACTGGATCCCTCTGTGGTTCCTGGGTGAACTCACCATGCAATCTCTGCCCTGGAGAGGATCTGAGCCGACTTCTCTGGTCCAGTTTGGAGAGACTCCTTCTGCTCATTCATCCTGCAAACAGAATAAAAGAGACTTTATACTTTCACTGCTCACTCAGATTAATCATACGCCAACTGTGTCCTTGTTGTTTCTTTTAAAACACTTTCAGAGTACTGCAGTTGTACTCTACCTTCTCCTTCGTTTGCTGCTCTTGGTGATGATTTCCGGTAGAAAAGAGCCGGTGTGCCGCCGTGTTACTGCTGCGTTCATCTTCAGCCGTCAGTCAAACTAAAACACAACAACCATCATCTGAAGTCCTGACGTTATTATATATAATATGTTAATATTTAATGATCTCACACAGCAATTACTTGTCGGTCGTGTTATATATCTAATGTATCTTTCATTGTTGTGTGCTCAGACATTCGGCTGCTGTGGGAAGATCAGACTTTCCTGTTACAGAAAATAAAATTAAAGTTAATGTGAGATGTTACACTTTGAGGAATATCTGGCTGCTAACACTGAGAATTATCTTCATCCATCCCTGAAGACCATGTGAGGCGGCTGAAAGCTGGAGAAAATACCAGAAAGTGGACCTTATTTAAATGCTGTTTTCCTGTTTAACTTGCCTAACATGCTGTGGGTTGTCAAACTACTGACAAGCTATAAATACTACTACTACTAATAATAATAATAATAATAATAAAAATAATAAAAATAATAAACTATATGTACTCAGACAAAGTTACTATACATGGTTTGAACCAGGTTTAAAACATTTCAGGACTGCAATGAGGGAAATAAAACACCCACAATTTTCTAAAACAGTGAAATTATTAAATGACACATCCTCAAATGAACAGCTAATCTTCCTGTTGACTGTGCATGGTTATTATATTATATTATCTATTTATATATATTATCTGGTTGGAAAAGAGGCCAATAAACAACAACAATAAACAGTCAGCTAACGTTAAATCAGCTGTAACTGACCGACTGTAACTTCAGTCTCTACCTGTGTTTGAATATCGACGCTGCGTCCTGAATAAAAAGCTTAAACCCGCACAGATTGCACAAACTCACCGCAGATAAAACTAAACTTTGTGTTCACAGTTTCCACCGCCGCCTGCAGAGGAGTTACCGTCACCGTGGCAACGGGACAGGCCGCATTCCAACACTAACATCCTGCCAACTGCTGTCCGGTTCCATTCAGGAATACAGAAACATTATTTCTCCTTATATTGGCGGTTCTGGATGATACCCGACAGTACCTGTGATTGTTACACTATCATATACACATTATTAGTAATACTATTACAGTGAATGGAATCTGATATGTGTTTAATATTTAATGTGATGCCTTTTATAACATTTGAATTATGACCTATGCTAAAAATGAGACCAGAGCAAAGATAAATAAATAAAAGGATACTAGAGAGCATCAGATCAACAGTACATATACATTAGTACAGCACAATATTTAGAGAAAGGGAGGGTTGTATATTAAGAGTACATGAGAGAAGCAGTGTTTTTATAACACACTTTCTTTGAGATGTTGGAGGTCGTGTGAGTGGAGCTTTTCCAATCTCCCCGCCGCTGGGATGGAAACTTCTTCTTTTTCCCTTCAAAGAGTCACAGAGTTTGTAATAAAGTTTCATGTTCTGGGTGGAAATCAGCAGCAGCTGACACAGAGAGGCTGTTTCCTGTCTGTCTGAGGATCTGGGTTTGATTTGCTGTGAAACGAGACCCTTTTGGATCTGTTTGTTCTTCTCATTCTAATTAGCTTCAAGTGTAATTTGTCCATTAACCAGCAGCTTTGGAAAAGTGAGAAGTAAATGTGTTTTACAATATTGGAGGTCGGTAGCCTGACGCCGACAGAAGTTATCATAAAGAAGTGTGTGTTTCTGCTTCAAATTAAAATCTTCACAAGTATATCTCTGTCTGCAGTAAACTCAGAAAATAATACAATAAAAAACTGTAGCACTTTATAGTTTGGTAATAACAATTTACAGTGTCATATGTTTGAATGACTCAGATACCAACAACATACAGTACTTACCGGATCCTGCTGTTAGTACTTTAATGTAGGAAAACAACAGAAAGGATAATAAGTGAGTAACAACTGGATCATTTAGAGGAGAATACTCAGAAC